CTCCAGCCCCGAAGACCAAGGGCAAACTTTGGCAATTACGGAATACGACTCCAGGTATGATTGCTGCTGCTGCTGTTGTTGTAAGTATTCATTTAATGTTGTATCTCTGAGTGTGCGCTGATTAATATTCCACTGATAGGCAATATTTGTTCTTTCAGGCGACAAGGATCTGTACGCGAAAGGCGAAAAAAGCAACATACTGTACCAACAATATCACAACTATTATCGCCAACGTCTAATGACTGGAGGTGCCTGGGCGCGAGACATCACAAACTTTTTCAACAACGCCCTCTTTTACAACAGCTGGGAAGAGGAACTCGAGCGCGCTATGGAAGAGGGAGGTGAAGGGCCTGCTTTTCCATTTGATACTGTCATCATTGCACCTCAGGCTATTGCGCAATCTTCCTCTGCTGCACACCCGCCATCTGCCTCTGCTGCGCACCCGCCATCTGCCTCTGCTGCGCACCCACCATCTGCCTCGGTCGCACTACCAGCATCTACTCCTGTCACCACCCCTGACACACTGCCACCTGTCTCTGTGACAGCTCCTGTCGTCTTGCACTCGCCTGCTCCTATCATTGGGGCACAAACTCACTCCATTTCTTCAGCAATGCAAGATCTTGCGTTGGCAGGCGAGGCTATTGTGGTTGGTGCTATCCCTCCAAAGCCCAAACCAAAGCCAAGGCGGTCCAGGACGAAGGTGCTGAGGTCCGCAGGTCTGGCCGCAAGAAATGAATTCATTCTGATCACACGCTGTTTGTCTCAATCTTTTTTCTGCGCGCTCAAATATCTTCTTTACTATGATACGACGTTAGTCAGAATCACTACTAAATTAGGTTAGAAGTACATACAACCAAACAGCTGAATAAGCAGCTACATTTCCAGTCATGCCAAGTTTACCTCGTCTCTTGAAATCCAACTACCACAATTTCTCTAAGTCCATCGACAATCATTATATTAATCACTACGATTTTGCTCGACGTCGACGTCACTGCAGCTCTGAATCATTAATGTGCCTCTAGACTGGACCATCCACCAACAAATAACAGTCTAAGCAGCAGCGCAGTCTACTGTCTTAAAGGTACTGTTATTTTTTAAAAAAATTTATCCCGCCTCTGACCTCACCATTGTCCACCCGCTCTCATTGCCATCACCACCAGTCTGTGAGCAGTATTAGGAATCTGATTCAGCAACAGCTCCAGCAACAACAGCAATAACAAAACAGGTATTTTTTCGTTTGAATTAATATTCTGCCTCTGACACTCCCAATTCAGATCTACACCCTCTCGTTGCCGTTGCCGTTACTCCCAGCTGCCCTCGATCATTTCTGGCACTGGCGCACTCCATCATCATTATATCTTCCTATCCGCTCTCCTGCTATGTCTACCATACCATAAGCAACTAGTCTATTAGTAAAAACCATTTTGTATTTTGTTAGTTGAACCACCCGCAATTCAATTCTGAGAGTTTCAATGTGATTTCTATAGTTTGAATTTTACCGGTCGAATTGAAACTAGCGCTGCATGTCGAAATTCTCTTGAAATAAAAATAAATTATTGGAAGGCACCTTAGCGCTTGAAACTGTCTTTCGATGCCTTGCAAGGCATGTCACTTGGAATTTTGGCACTGCCTTGGAAGGCAGACACAAGACCAAATGGGTCACTGCCAACTGGCTTATGGCAATTTCGGGTGTTCTTGCAAGTCAATCGTAATGCTGCCGGCAAATTGAAGCCTTTCAATCTATTTTAAGGAATGGCAACCCAAAATATGTATTTCCGACAAGTGTATTTATAGCAACCGATAAATGAGGGAGGAGCGTATTTATAGTGATAGAACTGCGGAGGCAATCAAAACGAGACTACGACCAGGACATACAGAACTACTCGTCATCATCCATGCCCTACTCGTCATTATCCATGCCATCAAGGTCGAGGAAAGCCATCACATCTTTGTGTGATGCTACGGCAGTGGCGCCATTAGAGCAGAGTTTCCTTTTGAGATATCTAGTCAATACGGTACATTCAGAGCATGATGAACTTACTGGATGGCCTCGAAAATGTCGGCCATCAACTTATGGAACTTGCTCGGCACATTTTCCTCCATTTCATTGAGAAAGTTCACATGGAAAGCATAGACCTTGCTGAACTGGTTGCCAGTGAAATTGAACTTGGAGGGAGATTTGCTGGACTTCCACAAGAGTGCAGCATACACCTAGTACACACTCGTTAATACACGACTGAGAACAGATCAAGAATCTAAAACGTACCGAAGTACTGGTCAAAGCAACCATCGGAATCGTTACCCTCAGGCCACTGGGCCTTGTTTCCTGCAATCTCCTTAAAACAGTCTGCAAATTTAATACCAACTGACTTGGACCCATTGAAGTAGCGCCCTTTCATTAGGTAAGGGATGATATCTGCAGAGTAAGGTTTCATTGCCTGCGGGGTGGGGTCATTTTTCTCCTGGAGAGTGCATCCGCACGCGATGTTGAGAACATATACAAAATAGAATATAAAAACCTACATCAAAATGCTGCGTATAATGGTAAGCATGGCTCGCCAGCAAAGCCTTAGCAGTATCAACACAATCAGGACCAAGATGGTAATATGCTGTGACTTGTGCGCAAGCATCATCTTTCAATTCAGTGCGAAAAAGCAGGCACTCGAGCATCAACCTGCATGCAATAGTAGCACCCCTTCAAAAGTTATGGCTTACCAGAGCTGCAAGTGCAGACACATACGAGTTGTTAGTCTTGAGGCGATCATAGATGGGTGTGATGCCGCAGGTGCGAGCTGCAGTTAAGAGCGCATCTCGCGTAAACTGGTTTTTCTCGGTAATGTCTGGATAGCCATTGACAAAGGTCATATGAACCTTGGCTTCCAGTATTGCTCGTTGAACGACACAACGGGTCTCGCTATCTTGGTCCATTAGCTTTAACTTTCCAGCGTCTGCCCTCCGTACAAGTTTGGGCTCCTCAAAATGACCACGATGCTCGTCATTATTGTCATTGTCTACCAGGAAGTTGTCGTTTGGAGACTTGGGATTGTCATCATCATCTGACGCAGCTTTGAGTTCCTCCACATTTTTGGAATCATCTACCCAAACAGGTGTCTGCAGTGCATAACATTAATCAAAATAGGAACCGTCAGAAGTGACTCGACTCACCTCATTTGCTCGTTTACGATCACGTGCAGAGTGAGACTTCGCCTGCTGAAGGCGTCGGTCAACAATTATAATTTTCAGCATGGATGGCAACTTACACTAGTATGGCCACGTGTATAGAACTGAATTTTTGTCTGTTGAGGGGCAGCAATCAAGCATCAGTTATTTTCAGCACGGATGGCATCGAGGGGACAATGTAGCCCTGGAAGCCACGGGAGCCCTTGGTTGGGCCGATGAGAAGGGGAATGGTTCAGCTGTCTGCCTCAACTATGAGGCACAAGTTCAAGTTTGTTTCAGCATAAATAGTAGAGTCTGCTTGCAGGATAAATAATCAACTGACCTTTGTAGCCACAGTTGATTTGGACAGAGTTTTCTGCGATGTACAAGGCCAGGTCGGTTGGGTCAGTGGGAAGTCACGCCTTTCGGCCTCCGATGTCAAGACAAATTTGGGTGTCTGAGTGATATCGATTGAAGTTGCAGTTAGCAATCTAGAACTAGCAGTAGAAGTACCTACTTCAGCTGACAGGAACTTTATGATGGACTCAGGTCCTTCTAAGTTGTCATCAGTTTCCGCTGCTTCCACGTCAGTATCCGCCTCTGAGTCGCCACTAGGTTTATAATCAGATATATAGGGCTCATCTGCTAAAAACACGTCGTCGATCATGGAAGGTGCATCTTGGGAGGTTTGAGCTGAAGTTCACTGCTGTTCAGTTTTTTTTCGTGCTGCAACTACAGATGCATCATGCCGAACTGACTTGAGGTGATATTTAAGCTTACCCTTCTTCTGTGGCGGCCCATGCTTAGCAATAACCGCGCTGCCTTCATTGGACTCTGCAGATGCACTTGGTCAGTGCATGCTAGTACGTAGAATGCTACACTTACCTTTACGCTTACTAGCCCGAGGGATTGCTGAACGACTGACTCCCTTTGATGCGGGTAAGTTGCATGCTTTCTTGACCCGCTGTTGTGGTACAAGAAGACGCTGCTTTCTTTGACGCATGTCGGTCCTCCAGACTAACACGGTGTGCAGTAAGTGAGTTGACTCCAAGTCTGTTCGATTTTTAAGAAATTTACCAGCATTCTCCATTGCCTTTTTTTCGCGGATCGAATGCCTGTAAAAATATAATTTATTGCCTGGACTTGTGAACGGCAGTGCACATGTAGTGAGCACTTACTAGTACTCCGGCCAGACATGCCAGTGGTATTGCTAGGCATGCTAAATATATATCGATGAGTGAACAGATTTGAAAAGAATGTAGATGCGGGGATACTTACCTGTCTGCCAGCCGAAAGTGATTTATAGCTACTACTAGGCATTTTACTGCATACTTTTGAGAGTCTCTTTTGGATTGGTCCAGGAACGTATGGTATCTGTTCTCTTGGAGTCAAATATAGTAACAAGTCCCGACTCGCATTGATACTGAGTGAGGCACACAAACATGTTATGGAATCTCGTCAGAGAACCCCCTCAAAGGTCTAGGTACAGTAGAGCAATCCTAGAAGCTACGATGTAAAATAAGTGTCAAGTGGTGCTAGTACATTCATCGACGGTCGCTGAGAGTTTCCAATCCTGTAAGCGCAAGATTTGTAATTATCGAATGTGACCTTCTGTGCACCAGGGAGACCCTGAATATGCAGCAAGGATGCTGTTGAACATGCTGCTCGCATCGAGTTGCATGTGCGTGATAATGACCGGAGGGCGCGACAATTGCTCAAGTAAGATCAGCTTCGTGATTGCCCCAATAACAGCAAATAGAGAGTTAAAATATTCAAGCAGGTTGTTGATGAATTCTGATAGTCCTGTACCACTGCACCACACAAAACGAATCATCATTCGCAATATGAAGGGGTGGTGAACTTCGAAACAATGCAAAAGGGAATATGACGTACGGCGTTGACGGTACATCGATGCATGAATGCTAACGGCCGACTGTCATCATTGATCAATGCATGTATGACACTGCGCCCGGAATTCATCAGGGAGAATGTTGGAGTCTACAGGGGGGTAGATATTGAAACCAAATGGGACACAGATCCGCACAAGCTTGACGAGGTTGCTGAAAGTGGAGGTCCATGTTCCTGTCAGCTGTTGACGTTGGTTCGATGTCGTGGGGTTTAAAACACGAACTGAGGAACTAAAGTTCAGAATTGGGGACTTCTATGTAAAAAGAACTCACCATTCATGCCACTCACCAATGGAATCGACTCTGCAATTGCGGGATCGACGACAGCTCGTTTCTGGACATCACTGCCAGCCATTGCATGCGAAGTGAGCAAGTATCGCAAGATTCGGGTTTTTGCATGCCACGTGATCTGCTTTTGGATGTCAGCTGACACCTGTATAGAGACTGGTGTGACAGGCTGTTGAGGGGCAGGCTCAATAGAGATGACTGTGGGAGCGACGGGGACAATAATAGGGACGATGGGGGAGACAGGGATGACGGGAGCAGCAAGGTCGACAGGTGCAATTGTTGTGGGGGTGATGGGCAAGTCTGCACTTGTTGCGAGCTGCAGGGTTTGTGGGGCAGGTATAGTAGTTGCACTGAGTGGGATGACTTTGGGTTCCTGCAGAGGATATGGCACAGAGATATGATGGGAGTGCTGTGTTCTCTCGACAGTCCCCTGCAGTGCCCGGGGAGGTGGTAATAGGTAGAGCGCGTCGATCTCCACTGACCAAGGGATTAGCCTAGGGACAGTAGCACTAGCGTGACTTGTTGGCATTTCGCTAGTGCTAGTTACAGACTCATTAAGGAACACTTGAAGTACAATATCAGTAATTTACTAAACATGGTCCAAACAATACTCACCGCCAAAGGCAAGTCCATCAAGATCGATGGTGTCCTGATCTCCAGAGAGTCTGCCGAAAATTGCAGGGTCTCTATGCAATGATGAGCTTGAAGGATACGATTGACTAACTTGAGGTTGGCTGATGAAGTCGAATGTGTCATGTTGCGAAGCCTCAGGTTGATTGATGGAGTTGAATGGGCCCTGGTGTGGGTCAATTTCAGGTGCGTCGTTGATGGAATCAAAATAAAAGTATTGATCTGCGATGTGACTGCATGTTGTGGGGGGATGAAAAATCTGTAGGAGGTGGTGGTCACGAAGGGAAGGGGGGCACACATCATGAGCACTTCTATCTCACGCACGCCTATACCTACAAACGCGTGCAAATTTACAAATACCAATTGAATTGAGCCCAGTCACTGGGACGTACTGAGACTGACCAATCAGTGGAGTAATATCCGATTTGAAGATTTTCACGCCCTGATGGAGAAGTCCATTGAGACAATTACATCAAGCATGAGTTGGGGCAGTACAAATTGCATAACTTCTAATACAACATACTAAATCACAGATTGCTATCAAAGTGCAAGGCTGAAATCATTGTAGGATCACCAAAAATGATCACTTTTGATCAATGCAGTGACCACAACTCAGATGAGAAATTGACAAGCCGGGATCAGAGAAGTTTCGAAATTGGGGGAAGAAGGATGATGTGGTGATAGGGTTGACGCGAGGATTTTGAGAATGGTGAATGAGAGATGCCCAAAAGCGGGCACAAGAAATGCGATGAGAAACTAGGTACAAAGCTTAGTCAGGGCGGCAATCATACAGGAAACGAGGATTTCACGTACTGCAATGTCAGGTTATCTCCTGAGCCTCACTCATCGGAGCCAAGATCTGACAAGCTGAAGCTTTCATCATTGAAGTCGTCTGACCCATCAGATGTGATATCAGAGTCCTTGTGGCTGAAGGGTTCAGTGGTTTGAACCCCATTGCGGAAGTGGCGACGCATGGGGAAGAATCTAGTGCAGTTCGTGAGAGATTGCGTGATACGTTTGTCCAATATTTTCGCAACTTGATCAGTCTGGATGCTGACAGTGTGAAGAATCTGGCATTCATCTTCATACACAGCTTGAAGATATTCTCTGTCGTCATCAGCTTCCAGGTGGCCATGCTGATAAAAATGCTTCCTATAATGCTGCAACTCCTCCTCTGCAGATCCAAAGTGTTCTTGATTTTCAGCATGGATGGCATCAGCATAGGTTGCAGTGAGATCGGCTTCTTCAGCTTCCAAAGTTGAGAGAAACAGACGTTGGTGTGCAACCTCACGGGTCAGGAGTTTTGCTTTGTACCCTTTGTACAAAGTTGCAGTTTTCATTTGTGAGAGGCCATTCTCCAGCTGTTCTTCAAACTTTTTGAAGATAATTTTAGCACAAAGATATATGACAATAAAAACAGCATGCCTTCTGCATTGCTTCAGGCAAGAAATCTGGCCGATATCCTCGACTCATAAATCGGCCTGCATAATGAACCTCCAGAGGAGGTGGATCAGGAGTATATGGCAGGTACTTCCTGGACATTCTATTGCCTGTGAACCACTGACAAGTGGTACTTGTGGGTGTGAATGGTTTACCAGGGATAAACACTAGGGTCTCCTTCGAACCAGGAGACTCAGCCTGTGCATTCCCTGAGACAGATCATAAACTCAAAGTTAAGGCACTTACGGACGCCTGCATGATGCTCGGAGAGGACACTGGGCTAGAATTAATGAGAGTTTTGGAACTATCAGAGAGAGGAGAAGGAGTGCAAGATTGGGGAGGGTCTGAGGGTGGACTGCTTGTTTGAGAGGGAGAAGCAAATGAATTCTCAGAGACTGTCATCATATTTTACAGAGGGAGTTGCTTACTTACTAGTGTGCCAATTCGGAGCTTATTATGTGGCGACCATGTATTGGGATATTGATGATATCAGCGGAGTCTGAAATGACTCCATTGGATTGGACCTCTGAAGTAGTGCCATCGCAATAGATCTCAATACAGACGCAATGGTCAGCTGCTCTGGATGTCAAGAATCGTTCTCAACGATAGGCTACAGTCAGCATTTGGCCAAGACTAGACAGGCATCTTGCATGGCTGTTCTTGTGGCTTCTCGTACTGCCAACTCCTAGCCGAGGAGTCCGACTCTGCAGTCACCTTCACTGGCGCCCACAGAGGATCAACTTGAACCAATCAAGGGCGACTTTTTCGGCACTTATGGAGAAGATGATATAGAGTGGCTAGGTGATGATGTAAGTGATTCTGGCGATGAAGAGGAAGGCCTGTACGACTCAGGAGAGTGGGAACCTCCCATACAGGATGGAAGTGAATGGGAGCCTCCTGTAGATGAAGGCGATCAGGGCGCTGAAGAGGTAGATAATGATATTGAAGCTCGTCAGCAGATCGAAGAACGTATTGTGAGGCAAGATAACATTGTTGTCATACCATATCTGGACACACGCGCAGGCAAACCAATAACTGGACGACCTACTCGCTGTGCAAATGCCACATATGGACTTGATACTGGCAGCACTGTGAACATCTATGCTCCCTTTGCCTCCCAAATGGACTGGGACATTGCTAAATGGGCGAAGCTATGCGGTTTCAAGCTCAACAGCATTTACTAACTTGCTTGAAATTGATGGAGTAAGTGCTGGTGCATAGGTGCACGTTCTTCACTGATATCTATGCATGTAGTTCAGTGATCGCCTTGAGCTTTCATATAAGAATTCAAAAGAGCTCAACAAGATTATTGACAAGGACCTTCCTGGACGACCGAAGTTCAAGTGCAAACAAATCATTGTCGCGGGCGAAGCATTCGATGTCTTCTACAGAGACATTATTGAATGTATCAAAGTGTTGTACAGTGACCCTGACTTCGCCAATTTTCTGGTATTTGCACCAGAGCATCACTATACTGATGAAGATCAAACTGTACGGTTGTTTCATGACATGCACACCGGCCAGTGGTGGTGGGACACGCAAGTAAGCAAACTATCATAAATCAGCATCTGCCTATTTTATTGATATGATACTTTTTAGAAAGTGCTTGATCAAAGACTGTCCAGGCGCCACGATCATTCCCGTTATTATATCAAGCGATAAAACCCAGGTGACAATGTTCAGGAATAAAAGTGCCTATCCTGTCTATCTCACCATCGGCAACATTCCAAAAGAAATCCGCTGAAAGCCATCCCGTCACGCCCATATCCTTTTGGCATATTTGCCCACCACCCACCTTGAGCACATTGTAAACAAAGCTTCGAGACACTGTACTGTCGCAAACCTCTACCATGCATGTATGAGTCGCATACTGGCTCCACTCAAGACTGCTGGTATTGATGGGCTGATGATGAGTAGTGGTGATGGCGTACAATGTCATTGTCATCCTTTGTTCGTGTGCTTTGCTGGCGACTATCCCGAGCAATTACTTGCTACTGGAGTGAAGGCAATGGAGTGCCCGAAATGTGACATTCCTACTGAGGAACTCGGGAGTAACACAGCACCATTCAAGATATGCAACCTTCACGCTGTTTTGGATGCTCTTGCCCGGGTTGACGATGGTGACCTGGCATTTGTACAGGCATGTCGTGAAGCTGGAATTAAACCCATCATTCACCCATATTGGGAGGATCTCCCTCACGCAAACATTTTTCAGGCAATCACACCTGACGTGTTACATCAGATATATCAAGGTCTTATCAAGCATCTACTTGGATGGCTCGCACAAGCATGTGGTCCAGCAGAAATTGATGCACGATGTCGTCGCTTACCTCCCAATCATCATATTCGATTATTCATGAAAGGTATCACCAGCCTCTCACATCTAAGTGGTACTGAACATAGTCAAATATGCTGGTTTTCTCCTCGGTATCATTATCAACATTCGACTTCCTGGAAATCTTGCTTCGTCTCGCCTCCTCAAGGCCATATGTGGTCTTCTGGACTTCCTTTACCTCGCACAGTACCCGTGCCATAGCTCTGAGACGCTACTTTTACTGGATGAAGCTTGTGCTCTCTTTTACAACAACAAAGATATATTCATTGACCTCGGGATCCGAAACAACTTTAACCTCCCGAAGCTCCATTCAGGACGCCACTACTCGACTATGATTCAAACTTTTGGAACAACAGATAATTATAATACGGAGTACACAGAACGGCTGCATATTGATCTTGCCAAGGATGCCTACCATGCGACTAATCATAAGGACGAATTTACGCAGATGACGAAGTGGCTGGAGTGGAAGGAGAAGATTTCTTGTCATGAGCAGTTCATAAAATGGCGTCTTGATGAGGACCGTGCTCCTCGTCATCCGCGTCCACCTAACTTCACCCAACAATTGACAAAGCATCCAAGCACTAAAGCCATCCCCATTCAGAAATTAATCACTGACTATGGTGCAACATACTTCTGACAGGCCCTCGCTCGTTATATTGCACAACAACAGAATCCAAATGAGGCGATCACTCGTCAGTGCCTGGAAAAACTTGCTGCAGGTATCCATCTGCCTTTCCATGCTGTCCCTGTACACCATAAGATAAAGTGGTTGTCGACTGATGCTCAGGGACACGGCGATCTGCTTGTCACAGTGGATAGCATACATGCTAGACCCCATCGCAATGCCCTATGAGAAAATGATGTGGTACCAGCACACTTTGATACTGCACTTATCAATGCCAGTACTGGTAGTTTTGTTGGGGTCAAAGGTATGACTTGGAGGCTTGTGTCGTCATATCTTGGATAATAATGTTATTGCAGGCTTCCGTGTAGGTCAAATTCGTCTCGTTTTCTCAATTCCAGCATTGGCAACACAGTTTTTGTTCCCTCCAACAAACCAACCTCCAAAGCATCTCACGTATGTGGAGTGGTTTACCCCCTTTCCTGCAACACTGGATCCAAGACACGGCATGTACAAAATCAGTTGGTTAATCAAGTCTGGCGAGAGAGTCGCAAGTATCATTCCGGTTTCAAATATTACCTGCAGCATCCATCTCATGCCAAGGTTTGGAGTCATTGCACCGCGACACTGGACAAGCAACAATGTTCTTGAAGAATGCAACACCTTCTTCATTAATTGTTATATTGATAGACGTAGTTTTGTGACTCTTAGATGACGTGCAAAATTTCTCATTACATTATTCTACATTACTCCTATTTCATATAAGTTGTCTATTTTATCAAAAATATCATAAATTAGAGAAAGTTTGACATACTTAGCCTAAATTTGTAGCGGGGGGTTTTCCTGATGAAGTGGTAACCATGTCCGAGGGACCTAAAGCGATATCTTTGACGGTACCATGCAGCGATCTCCAGTGACACTTCGCACTGTGCCTTGAATGACAATGTGCTTGCTAGCAGTAGGCAAAGGGGTTTTGGAGAAACGGGGATGTCCTTTGAGATAGTAACAGTGAACTCGCATGTTTTGCTGGGGGCCTGCAACATACTGAGAAACATCCATATCAAAACTGTTTTCCTGCTGGAGTGTAAAAGCACCTCGCAAAACCTTCCCGGCTATGACTATCGTAGGAAAGGCGCGAGCACCATCAGGAAGAGGTTGTAGCTCCTATTTGGATGGATGAGCTAGGTAAAAAATAAAATAAAAAGATACTACATTACATCATTCGCAAAGAGATAAAGGGTTTTGTGCGGATTTGCCTTCATCATCAATGATAGGACCGATAGTTGTCCTCACATCCAATAGATAGATGCCGTCTTCAGTGGAAGCAGTGTTCGCACTGAATGTAAACATATTGAGAGGAATGTCTCCCATTTCTGGAGTCGCGATAAAGCCATCATATCGCCAATAATTCTTTTTGTCGATCATATATCTGCTTGCATTCTGAAGTCCAACCATGCCATGAAATGAAGCAGATGTCACCATGATGGCAATGAACAAATAGCAGTAAAAAGGAGACACAATCATGAGCACATAACAACACAGCATGACGCGGTGGACACAATAGCGCCCGAGCTGGCCGGTATCTCGTGCGTAATGTAGATATTTTGGTTGTTGTCTAAGCAGATGTAAAATTTCAAATGTTAACGAGATCTTGCACAACAAGAAAAATACAAAGCATTAGTGAACATTTTGTCACTATCTAAACGTCAATGACAATAAGAAATATAAATATATTTTTAATGCTGGCACAAACTTCAAAATGAAACTTCACATTTAAGACTCGAAAAAACTTCAACTATCGCATGTGACTAAATGCCTGCTCATGTATGAAGTTTAGACCACCGCTTAGACAGGCGTTAAAATTTAAAATAGCTCCTGGTGATTAAATGTGAAGATAAATCATGAAGTTTTGTCTCCACATCAGTAAAACAACCGGTTGCTTT